TCTAAGCATCAGCCAGTCCTTGTTTCAGCCGAGATACAAGTTTTAGGCTTACACGCTCCAGAGTGTAGCTGCAAGCTGACCTGGTTGGCAGCCAGGCATCGCGTCCCTTGAATCGATGGGACACCCCGTGTGACAGGGCGCCAGCGCCTTCGAGCTTCGGAGGAGGCGCTTCGAGGCAGCAGGGGCTGCGGGAGACGGGCCTTCCGAGTTTTCCAAGTTGGACGAGCCAAGCCGTGGGTTCTCTTTGCTTGAAGTCTGTTTCACTGACGAGAGGCGCAGTGGTGTTTTGCGTTCCAGCCCTGCGTGGCTTTGGGCTTGATGCTAGCTTTGGGCAGATTCCTCATAAAGCTTGCCTATTTGTTGCAGGTTACATCCAGGAATCGTGCACGGCGGTTGGGAAAGCATTGCTAGCACGGGCATCCAATTTTGTTGCAGCATTGGCTCACGCGCCAGGCAGATCGCTTCGACTGGAGCGAGCACCGATTGTCCAAAAGGTGCATGCGGGGGATGGAGGGGCGATAGAAGCCGATTGCTGCGAGCAAAGATAAGAAAAGGACGGATATCCCGTGTCAACCATCTTGGGATGGTGGCTGGAGTTTGCCTCCAAGCTGCGCATCCCATGCCGCAGAAACAATTTGAAAGCGAGTCTCGTCAAGCCTTCATTTGGTGCCAGGCCCTATGTCGTCATGGAGGTGCTTTCCGGTCAGGTGCCGCAAGATCATGCAGAATCCCAATCAGATGTCAGCCCATGGCCGTTTGTTCTTGAGGTGCTTTGGGACATCATGTGTTCAGAGACCAGGCGCGGGCCACATTCACACCACTTTGTGCTGTTGTGTTTTTTGCACCTTTGTGCCAGAAAAGGTATCATGGACATACATGAGTGACCGACCAATTGTCCGACAATTACATATTTGATACGGTCAGAATACCCTAGTTCGTTGAGATTTCGCTGTAAAACGAGATGGCCCCCCGAAATCGAGCTCAGAAAGAGATAGTCTTGTAGAAAACCATCAAGACGACATGAAAGAAAAACAAGTCTTATGAGTCGCTGTGCGTGCAGCCGGCTTTGGGGCACGCAAAACGCAGCCCAAAACGAGTCCAGAACGAGTCCGCAACCGTGGCCATGGACAAAGCGCACGTCGCATCATTGGGGTCGCATTTTTGCTACTTGGGTCACTTGGGTCACTTGGGTCACTTGAAGCCGGGATACATTCACTCGAACCCGAGATAGATGAACTGAGCATCCGCAACTTGGTTCGTTGGGATCACTGGAAGCCGAGATAAATCAGCTGAAACGCGCCACGTGGGTCAGTTGGGTCACTTGGGTCACTTGAAACCAAGACAAGTTAACTGAAGCGCGTCACTGAATGCACGGCTTGGGTTTGCTGCAGTGGGCTAGGCTTATTGGGAAATCCTGCGGTGAATGTTGCAGTGGCGTTGTAAAAGGGCCTATCCGGTGATGCTAGAGGGGTGTTGCTGGTGATGCTGCAATCTGATGAGTTTTGTGCTGAAAGCTCGTGTCATGCTGGTGTTCTTTGCTGTCACTTGTGTGACTTCCTGCCGCATGTGTCACGTGGGTTAGTTGGGCCCCTATCCCCGCCCCTCATGCGACCTCTTCCACTTGAGTCTGCCGGTCAGCCACTGGGGTCAGCCACTTGAGCCACTTGGTGGCTTGGGTTGTCCCATGTCCCAAGTGACGCATTTCATTTAATTTGGCTCAGCTTCAAGTGGCCAAGCAACCCAGTGATCCAAGTGGCAGAACACAGTTTGCGCTATTGAAAAGGCACGATTTGCGAGCTTGAAAGCGTAGAAAACACAACATGCTGCAAAACGAGATGGTTCCCCCTTCAGTTGGATCGAGTTTGTTCTGAAGCGAGTCTAAAGCGAGACAACACCAGTTTTCGCATTGCGGAAAACAAGCTAGCTTGTCAGCTGCTCACATTGTTTTTCTGTAATAGACTTCTAGACTATTTGCTTGTCTCAGTCTCACTGCATCTGGGGTTAGTGCGCGACCTTCATCATGAATTGCCCTCCTATTACCCCCAAGCTCGTGATTGCAGATACTTGTATGAAGACACTAGACCTAGGGACTCCCTTTCAATGCATTGCATGGGCGGATGGATACAACAGCAAAGCTGTGTGACTCATCCCTTGCCAGGGATGCGACCAAGTCTGCACCTTTGGCACCTGAGGAGATTTGCCAAGAGTAGGAGTGTATGCCCAAACGAGTTCTGCCTAGGGCCAACTGCTAGCTTCATTCTTCGCTAGTTGAAGCTCCAAACCACGCCTTCCATTAGCAATAGCATGAACCCATGAGCCAATGGAGCCAGAAACCACGAGAGGAGTAGCCGGTTCTCGCCAGGAGCGCAAGCATATCCTGGTGCAGCTGGCCAAGGCCGTCGAATTCAGCCCAGGGAAACAAACACCGACGGACCTTTGAAAGAGATCTGAGAGATTCCCTTTTTTGTGGTTTCACCGGTTCGCCAAGAGGAAAACAGAATTTGGGGGTGGGGTCCCCCAAAAGAGTTGGAGATTACGAGCAATTAATATTTCCTGAAATTCTCAGAAACCCCTTTGCCTGCGAGGCATTCTTGCCACTCTGACATTGCCAAGGCCTGTGTCTACTTGGAAAGCCTCGGATTGGTGCATCGCGACCTGCGGCCCTGCAACGTGCAGCCGCACCCTGCATGCTTCAAGTCCAGTTGGCCATGCAGATGTCCAGTCGAATCAGTCCCAAAGTCGAATCGGCTCTCAGTTGAAACTGTTTTGGCAACAACCATCTTATTGGTGCCAGCAGCAAGCTGCTCAAGCACAACATGGCCGGCTGATTTTCGGTTTCGCAAGCCCTTCGCAGCTCAGGGCTTTAAGGTTTCAGCTCCGCCAGGATTTGCAAACGGGGGCGTCGATGCCAGGTGCTCGGCTCAGAGGTTCGGATTTTTGGTTTGAGGATCCCACACGCAGCCCGTTAAGCCGGACTTCCGAGGTCCCAGGGATTTCCAGGGCTAACCAGGCCACGATTTGCACAGGGGAAGGGATTTCCACAGCTTCTCTGTGGAAGAACCAACTGCCAGCAGCCTTTGGTGGGGAGTCAACATCATCTCCGGAAGAAGTCTGCTTTTGGCATGCCTGACTTTGAATCACTCCGGTAGAAGTGTGGTTGACTCATTGCGTCATGTGAGCCTCAGACCTAGGTGAAGATTCTGGACTTGGGAGTCATGATAGCTGCCAGGGCCTTGGAAAAGCCGGGTGTTGCAGCAAGGTGCGGTTGTTTGGCCTTTGCGCAAAGTGTGGAGAGACTTGGGTGGGGTCCCATTGGTTTCCAATCTTCGCAGACCGGAAAAGGTACTCTCAAACAAAACACAACATGGGGTCCTGGACATACTGTGGACTGACAAAATCCACTTACCACCAGTTGGGATCGGCATAGGACTTCATCCATCCCAACTGGGGCAGGATTTTGTCCATTCATAAATCCCACCAATTGCCAGACTTACAAATAGCTGGAAAGAAACAGAATACAGTACTCCCCTTCAAGTTGACATGGAACCAAAAAGGGGGTGCCCAACAGATGTTCCTCAAAACTGATGGTTTTCTGGGTTCATTTTGGGGGTGCCCGATGCCCGTTTCGGCCTCGCTTGCGGCTGAGTTTCTGAGGCCGAAAACACCTTAAGGGAGAGCACCTCACCGGCGGTGCAAGTCTTTCGCCACGGGAGGCTGGAGGACGCCAGCTGCAAGTGGCGCGATTGTTATCCGGGCCATGGGCAGCTTTTCCGGAATGGGACTTTCTCAAAATGGAAGACCCGCTTTTTGGATGGTTTTCTCGGGACGCGAAAATGAAGAACACCCACAGGTTGAGTCCTCTTCGAGTGATGCCAGGGGTTGATGGCCCAAAATGCCCAAAGATGCTGCATGGCACTTGCTGCCCTTTCCGAATCGGACACAATTTGTCAGGATGCATTTGTATCAACAGAATATCCAGGTTTGACTTGTCAGTCTTGTTTGCAAAATTAATCATGCAGCCTATGATCTTATTGAACACTTCAATTGGCACAAGGTTAGTTGCTGACTTTCCAATGCCAGTCGCAAACTCGCCACTCTTGACAATTGATGGATGGGTTGTCAGACATCCTGCAGACCTGGCTAGCATTGACGTCGCAGGATGGCTACGACTGGTTGCCTCCAGAGGTGGCTGCCGCTTGCCTGTGCAGCTTTGCCAGGGGTTGGCGCGCTTTGCGCGGCAGCAGTGAAATCTAAGTGCGTGGGTGTGATTTTTGATGGTGTTCTTTTTGGGTGTTGGTTCAAAGGGAAACCAAAGGGAAACCAACCCCTTGTCGACACGCCCAAGTACTTGAAGTGACTTGAAGCTTGAAGTGGCCGCGTTCGAGTTTTCATCATTCCTGCTATGATGTTCTTAGCATGCGCGGAAGCAGAAGAACATGTTGTAGGGATGTATGATACGCTTGCTTGGGTGTGGATCCGCCTGCTGCCGAACTGATTGGGCGTGTGCATGATCAGGTCTACCGCCTTGTCCATGGTTTGGAAGCAGACATGAACCTTTCGGGCCATGGCATTTTTTTTTTCTTTAACGAAGAGAGACTCACTCCTGCTGCACTGTTGCAAGCTCTGGTGCGCAGCCGTCCTTGGCTTGGTTTTTAACTGACAAAGCAGGCCAGCGCAAGAGGCACGCCTCAGGGGAGTGCAAGATTGTTTGCACAGATCTCGAATCAATGCCGACCCATTCTCTTTCCATTGCCCAGTGCATGCCCACTGCTTTCTCCAAGCCCAATTCAATGCCAATTCCATGGCGAAACCGGACAGTCCACCTCCCCACTTGTTTACAAACATGCCGATACCAAAGGCAGCGCAACAATGTTGACAGATTGATTGGGCATCAGCCAAGCCACAGCCCTTCTTCCATACCCGCAAGAAGTGGTGATCCAACGTCCAGAAGCGTCCGGGTTTGCCCGGACCTGCAGCCTTGGCGGCCAAAGATTCTGGCCATGGCAGCGGCGGCATGTGAGGCGGTCCTGCCGCTGCTGCAAGCAGCGCTGGGCGCATCAGGCGGGAGAGACGTGGAACCTTCCAGGGAGTGAACCCGCTCTACTAAAAAGGTGTTCCCCTCCGGAAGTGATAAGGCCTTCTATTCGTCAATCAGGGGTTGATTAATTCTGGGTTAGCCAGAGCTGCTCTGACCTTTTGCCTTTTATATTTTCAATCATGTTCCGATTCAACCAGGCCTTCCTGGGGTAGGGGTGGAAGAAAGTTTGGGGGGGTCTCCTTCCTTCTTCCTGCAGACTGCGCAATGGATGTGGCCATCAGGTGGCCCAACATTCTTCGGGGCCTCCTCGTCCTGTCGGTGCACCGTGGGCCCCTCTGGCCTATCTTGAGTGGTGCCACAGCACATTGTGCTCCAGATCTAGATGCTCCATGGACCTCGAGCACGGACGGCTCTCGCCCAGTCCCTTGCCTTCGATGTCCGGTCCTTTGGACGATGACGATTCGCCTGCAGCGCACTTCCCTTGTGCTCCCATATACTTTGCCTACGTTCTCAAGGGGACTTGTGTGTTTCAGCCCGTTTGCAACGGCCCTAAGTCTGGCCCAGTGAAGACCTCCATCCCAACAGCCCAAGAATGGAGTCGCCGAAATGTCGCAGGCGGTATGATACCAGCCGACTACTCCGGCAGCTGCTCGTCTGCAAGCTGCGATTTTCAGAGCCAGAGCGTACCATGCCCATCAGCCACCAGGCTCCGATGCAGATGCTTTCATCCCAATTTGTTGCCAATTCAAAGGGAGTTGTGTTGTGTATTTTCACTGAGCTGTTTGGAACTTGAAATGAACTGCCAGAGGCAAGGGTCTCAATGTGCATTTGAGTTGAGTGGCAGGAGCAACCATTGCCAGGGGGTATTTGTGGTTCTGTGCGCAGGCTTGTGCTTTTGTGTTTCGGCATTTTGGTGTGCTAACAGCTCATGAGAGGAGAGCACGTGCGTGCCTTTCTGAGGAGTCTTGCTGCGCATCGGCGAATCGGATGGAATTGTGTTCTGCGTGCAGCAGGCTGCAAAGAAGCTGTCTTTATGAGCCGGATCATAAACTAAGGTGCTTTTTGCATTGCTCGCCTCCTTTTCTGTTTGGCAGTTTGTTGAGTGCGGGGACGGAGGAACCCCACTTTGAGAGACTGGGCTCTTCTGCAGCCCCATTCGTCATGCGGAGAAGTCCATGCCAGTTCGTGGGAAGTTCATTGAGACATTGGTGGGCTCGCGTACCTCTCTCTCTGTTTTGTACCAGGTTGGCCCAACCTTGCATGGGCTGAGTCAAGTCGCCAGGGCCGCGGCAGTTTAGAGCTTTGGCGCGGAGGCACTCTACCGCAGGCCAACACCACGCCGGGGCCCCACATCGGACGAAGCCGGTCGCGTGGTTGGCGTTTGGTTGTTTTGTTGGCTGGGGACGGGGGGGGAAACAAAGCCAAGCGTTGAAACTTTGAGAAGCGGCGGCTTTGCAAGCACCACGGAGAAAGAGAGATAGAGAGAGAGAGAGATAGGGAGACTTGCAATGTGGCAGCCAAGTGCTTTCCACAGAAGCATGACATACTGCATGTCAGACTTGTGGCACTCTTGAGGATCTACTTTGATTCTGTGGAGACGCTGCGGAAAGCTCTACAGGCTGGCCACAGCAGGCTATGAAAGCTCAAAGTGGGTGGGTGTTTTCTCAAAATTAGGCCCCCTTTTGGTTTCCCTTCAAAGCCATCCAAAAAGGGGTGCCGTGTTTTGAGACAGACCCAAGTGGAAATTGGAGATTAGCCTATTGGCACGGCGCTCGCACGCCTCTGCTTCGACGTTTCTTTGAGGGACTTTGCGCAGATGCATAACGACAAGATTATTGCCTCTGATGATATGGGTGTATATGGTGTATTGTGCATTCCATATTTATGCATATATATATATATATAATATTATGTTTGTATGTAGACAGCGAAGTAGTATGCACAATTGGGGCCAGTCAAGATTTCAACGTTTGCCACGTGCTCTCTCTGAAATTTGTCAAGTTCAGTGCACCTTTGTTCCTTGGGTAAGACTGGCTTAGCTATGTGTCAGGCCGGCACGTTTTTTTTCTTTTTTTTTTCTGGGCACGTATTGGGCCGAGTCCCGAAAAGGACCAGCACGCAGTGCCTATGCTGCTGATGCGGCGGAAGCTGCGGCTTCAGGGCGAGCCTCGGGGTGAATGGGCGACTTCTCTCAGCCCTGGGATTTCTTAGCCCAAACTTCCCCTGTATTTCTCCTTTGGTTGCTTAAACATCGCCCTGTGGGCCAATGTTAAGTGCGTGTCCTTTCAGTGGGGCTTCAGGACAAATCCTGGGAAGCCCTGAGAACTGCCATCAGCACCCACACAAGGCTTGAGCATGGCACAACCAGACATTAGGACCTCAGAGCCGGTGGCAATAGCACCTGTTGGACACTCGGTTTGACAGTCATTCTCCTTGAGGGAAAGATGCAACGTGGGTGAATCCCGCAGACCCTGTGGTAAAGTCCAAGACCTCGATCCCCAAGCCAAAATATGGCTGGCTGGTGGGGAGCGTGTGTTTCAAGTGCAACGTTGCTTTGTTTCAGGCTCTTTGTATTCTTTGCTATTGTTTGAACATGTGGAAACATGGCTTGTGTGAGAAATGCTTGACCAAAATGGCACTTGCCATTTTGGCTCAAGCTCGGACCAACCGGTCCAAAACTTAAAATAAGCTTTCGCCTTCGCTCCCGCTCCCTTCCATTTTGCAATGGCATCCTCTACCTCAGCAACCTCGTTTGAGCTTGGAGGATCAGCGCCTCTCCGAGGAGGAGATCAAGCTTGCGGAGATGGAGCTCGAGGGGCACCGTGCTGCGGAGGCGGCGGTTCGGTCAGCGTTGTGCCTGGAGGCGCCTAAGCTCCTAGGGGAGGGAGAAACCTGCCAGGGCAAAAGTCCGCGGGTCTACCGGCCCCCTCACTGCTTCACCGCCGCCCGCGCAACCTCCTGAATGGCCACAAGTCCCTTCTTCTCGGGGTTCTGCAGGACACCCCAGATCGCATCCGAAACGTGGCCCAGGGCGTTGGATCGCCGGTGGCGCGGGAAGAAGGGACTCGGGAAGACCGAGCGCATCCAGATCACCCAGGACGAGTGCCCCTGGGCCTTCAAACAGGGAGACGCGCATTGCCGGATGTTGGGCACCCTTTTCCTCTGCAAAATGCTCCTCCTCTGCCGGGGCCCCTCTCTTCTCGGGTGAGGATCTTTGTGGGGAGCGGCAACCAAGGGAACGTCATGGCCATGCTCAACCTGGGCTCCAAGAAGCCCTTCACCGCGGCGGTGCTTATGGAACTTGTCCTTCTTCTGCACAGAAATGGCTGCTCGCTGGCGGCAAACCGCATCCCCCGCAAGTTCAACTTCGTCGGCTACAGCAAGCAAGCCAGACCTTTGCTCCAATTTGCGCTTTCTCCCCCGTATCCTGAATGGGGAGAACTTTGATCTTACTTCGTCGCCCACCCAAGCTCCCATGACCGGAGCCGGTGGGCGGTTTCCCTGCTCCCCGGCCAGCGCTACTCAGCCTGGGAAGCTTTCTCTGGATGGGATGTCACAGCCACTCCAGACCGGTTTTTCAACCTGACAGGAGGGGGGTCAAAAAGCGGGTGACCGCTCTTGTGTGTCGGCCTTTTTGGGTTAGCTTGCTTACACAATGTGTTAGATACGGTTGGCAGTGATTAAAGGAGAGTTTCTCAAAGAAGGCAATCGAAAAGGGCAGCAGCCATTCTGCATACTCTAGGGGGCCCTATTTTTAGTTGGGCCGCATGCCTTCGCTCAGGATACCTCCTTCATGACACAGTTCAGTGCTGGCAGCGGGTCGGAGTCTGCCATGGCCCGGCAGTTTGCCAAGGAGCTAGACTCCGCCAGGGGCTCTGATGTTTTTTTTGAACCACCTCATTGGTTGGTGGACATGAATTGCCACCAAGATGATGTCCACCATTCCGGGTCTGTTGAAACTCACACCTACAAACGCAAGACTTGAGCCATGCAGCAATTTCTCATGAGATTGCAAACTTCCCCCTTGCCAACTACCCCCCCTCCCCCAAAGTTAACTTGACTAGAGCTAAATCAGAGCCCTGGGACCCTTGCCAGCAAGACCCTTTCCATCGTTCAAGCGGCTCGACGCCAATTTCTGGGACCCTACATGGTAGCAGAATGCAACTAATTGGGATTGCGTTGGCGTGTCGTGCTCTCTCACTACTCACCATTGATTGACGATCCCTTTCCCCACAAAAAAGTACAAACTGTGTCCAAGTAAGGGCCAAACCCTCCCTAAAGTCAAAAAACAAACTATAAGGACACCTGACTTCAAGATTTGCAATCAAGCCAACATAAGGCCAAAATTAGGGCAAGACCAACATAAGGCCAAAATAGGGCCAAAATAAGGCAGCAGATCGTTTCCACTGCATCCATGACACTCTGGTTGCGATTGTGGAAAAGGTTCCGCTAGACAATTTCCTCGTGTTGTTTTTGTATGTGAGAGCTTGATTAGATTGAAGCGATGTATTGCGCGTCAGCGGTAGCGGGTGCTGCGAATGTCGTGACTGAGTTTGTGTGTTTTCTGAAGCTATGCCTTGTTTGGCACCTAGCACGAGTCCGGAACTTATCATCCTATTACATTCACACGCCTCAGCCCAAAATAAGACCAAAACAGAGATGATGAAATATGTTGAAACAGTGAGTTTTTATGTTGGCCTTATTCTGCGCGGAGTTGAAGATAAGGGCTTATTAAGACCCCAACAAGGCCTTAATAAGGGGTTATCCCTAAATTTACAGGGGGTAGTCAGCAATGGGATTGTCAGACATACCACGAAATTTTAGGTTTTGCTTCAATGGCATGTCAGATCGGATCCGTCAGATCCCCCTTTCAGATCATGTCGGCAATGCGAGTGCCAAGCTGAACCATCAGCAACTGGCGGCTTGCTTTAAGGGGATCCATTGGCCCATTCCCAAAACGCAATGTTGATTCCCTGAGAACCAGAGGCTTGGCTTCTAAGGCAAAAGGCAAAGACGTGCTGACTTGGGAAATCAATGGGCATCAACTGAAGATATTTCAGGAACAAAAAAAAAAAAACATCAGCAGTCCGAGAGAGGAGCCATTCCTCAGGAGTTTGACATGGTTTGACCACATAATTTCACGTCACTGCAGCGGTTGTATTCCATATGCAGATGGCTTGATTTCATTGCGGTGACTGTGCTAGACCTGGGTCCCCGAGGTTGGAGCATGAAGCACACTAGGTGGCACGGTGCCACACGAAGGTTGTGCGAATGGAAGTCAAGGGATGAAGGACGATTTAGTTTGAGAGCTACCGCGAAGGCAGCAATAGCTCCTTTGAGTCGTCACAGAATTGAATATCAGCTCATATGCAGCATACTGAGAAATGTGCGTGGCCCAAAAGCAGACCCACCCGCATGGCTGTGGAAAAGACTTTCGCTTTGAAGTCGCTGAGGCCATTGCTGGCTCTGGCGGTGGCACCGAGGAGGTCGTGAATTGGGTGCCCAACGAGGCTTCCAACCACTGCCAGGAATGTAGCCAGGCGGGCTTTGAGTACTTGTCTTTGGTGACAGAGACGGGAAACTCAAGCAAAACGCTTCTCGGGAAACTAGAAGCAGAAAGAATTTCACTTCCGTATTTGTCTCATGGCAGGTATTTCAATCATGTCAATCTCGGATTTCATAGGATTTGTTTGTAGCTTCGGCTTTTAGAGGATGTGTTTTCTCTTCGCTTTCTCGGCTTTTGGAGGAGTTGTGTTTGTTTCGGCTTTTCAACATCTAATCACCGGCAGATCTTCCGCAGCTTCCGGCGGCGCCACCACTGCCGCCGCTGCGGGCGCCTGCTTTGCGGGAGCTGCGCGCCTAAGGTGCAGGCGAACGAATCGGAGCCGCGAGAGGTCGCGCGGCGGAGGGCTCCTGAGGTTCCCCGGTAGATCAGCTGCCCCTTAGTTGGTGGGGATGTGCCATTTCTTTTTCCGCACCAAAGTCAGTTTCATGGGGACCCACCTGAAAGTTGCAGCTTGTGAAGGAGATATCCAGTAAAAACTGTACAAATACCTTGAATTGGGCCCAACGGTGATGATTTAAATGGGTAATCCCGTGGAGGTTGCCCCTGACACAATCACATGACAGGAGCCCGGCAATGAAGCAGGCTACGTTCCCTTCGTTGCGCACATTTGAGGGAGAGTCTGGCCGTTTTCTGTCTTGCAGGAGAACAGTGGCGACAACTGCTTGAGCATGCTGAGCCAGGCCCACATTCCATGGTTTTCGACGCATTGGGATCACTCGCTTGAGTTTCGGACGAGTCTTGCCAGGGCTCTCGCGTGCGGCTCTGTGAGCAGTGCCAAGAAAGCGGGCCACAGGCGAGCAATCTGACGGTTGGGGTGTGGGAGTTCAATGGAGCTACAGACAGATTAGTCCGAGTGCTTCTTAAGCATTGGCTTGTGAATCACAGTTCTTTTCGCTCTTGCTGGCTTATGCTCTGCACGTGTGATTGTCGTTTGGCGACTCCTCACGTACGGTTGCATAAGGAATGCTGATGAGGAGTTGTGCTCAACAAGGTGTGCACGTCCTGGTATGCCAGCCCCTCGTGAATGTCCTGCTGTACTTCGATACTGGATGTCGCATTACGAAGCTTTGCTAATTACGAGTTAGTCAGCAGCCAGGCATGACCGCACAACCAGCAAAATAATCTCAGTAAACTATTCTTAGTGGGCAGGACATGGGGCCTATCAGTGGCCTATCCCATTTATGGGGCCCACCAAATTTTCCCAGGTCCTTTTGGGGAAGCACTTAATTCTGTCCGGGGCATACGTAAAATGTCATCAACACATCCAGTAATTTTCCCGCGGAAAGCAGGGGACTAATGGTAAGTGTTTGATCGTGGCTCACACGCTTGCCGCGTTGTAGTATTTTCATGCTTGGTTTACTTGCACACATGAAGGAAGCACCAGCCATCGCTTGGCCTCGAAATAGAAGCGCACCTTTCGCCAGGCGCCCCGGAGCCGGTCGATGCACTCACACCGGGCGAGCATCATGAGCACGGCGAGCGCGGTGACTGTGGGCTCAGATGCTGTTGAGGCACAGGGCGAGCCCAGCCGTCTCCGCATGGCAAGAGCCTTCCATACCCTTTGAGAATTCAGCCCACGGCTGCTTCTTTCATGGCTGGTCTTTGCGACCCTCGCCCCTTCCTCTTGAAAACAGCTTTGGCTTTTCCATTAAACTTACAACAGGTCCACTAGCACCTTCCAAGGGTCCAATACCCGAAGTTCCGAAGTGCTCTTGTTCTTCCATTGATCAATTTGGGGTACCAATGGACAGCCCTCGGAAGGCCCCCACGACCGGCCCTTGCAACCCGGATAGCTCCATGCGCAGGCTGCCATGGAGCGCCTCCATGAGATGAAGGCCGGTTCTGTGCTTGATCTGACCTTTGGAAGGATCGAAAGAATGGCATAGCGCATTTGGTATGCATTTGGTCCTACACTGTGTCTATACTGAATTTGCAATAGAATAGCTACCTAGCACAGTTGTCTCCACGTCTCTGAGTCGAAAATTCTGAAAGTCAATACAGCTTTCCGCAAGTTTGCAAGCAGAGCATTGATCTCCTTTTCTCCGAGTCTGGGCTGGGTGGGCACCTTGGGCACGACATCCCGCAGTTTCTGCAATCCCAGCAGCATCGTGCTTTCTCCCAATTGGATCTTGGCTTGCCCAGATTGCAATATTGCCCAAAGCATGAGAAACACTTGGTGAAGCCCTTCTTCCTTTTGCAAGCCAAGTGATGAGATTTATCATAACCAAACTCTTTGAAAGCGCGTTCCTTCAATTAGTTCCTAGTTGGAAGGGTTCCGGCATGGTCCTTTCCCCTCGAAGCCCCAGGTCTCTCTTTTCCTTTTCCCCTGAATTTCAGTCCTTGAAAGAGGTGTTGACGACCCTCGTGGCTTCTAGGCATCACCTTAAGGCCGCAACGTGACCTTTAAGTCTTGCGCAACTGGTGCGCAGCGTCCCAGAACCCAGTTCTTAGAACCAAGTTAGGGTCACCCAAGTTTAGGGCGTAACAAATGGAGGATGCCGCATGCCTATCAATACTTGTTTCATTCATCTCTCCTGTGGCAGAGGCCCCGACTCCGGAGCCGCTCAGGAGGAAGTCGCAGAGCTGCGGAAGGCGGAGAAGCAGCGCATCGAGCGCGCTGCGCGCAAAGGGGTGCAGCAGATTTGGCTCGCTGCTTGACAAAAGATAATGGCTCATCAACTGGCACGAGCACCCAGAATGGCAGCTTGGTAAATGGACAAAACAACGAACACCCATGGGCTCACAAAGGTTGATGCCGGTTAGCCGGCTAATTGGTGTCCGAAGTACCGGAGACGCTCACAACGTATGACACTGACATCAAATCGGTCTGTGGTGACTTTCACCGCACAAAGAGCGGCACTTGCGCCTAACTTTTGCACGTCCGTTTGGTTGAACACCTGATGTTGGCACTCTCATGGCCAGGTTCCTGTTGGCTGTCGCAACGCATTTGGGCGTGGTTCCTTTTTTGAGGGTCCCTCCCAGTTTTGTTTGGTTGTCTTTATCGGAGCCCAATGGGGGGCCTCTTAGAGACAAAGCCATGGCCTTGGATCAGGGATGCCTCCCAATCCGCAGCCACTTGCAGCGACAAAGGCCTCTCAGCTAGCCACACAGCAAATTGAAGTCACCTGGCTGTCCAAACAACTCGCTGGAATCCAGCGGTTTTCAGTTGCCAAGCAGCTTTCCAGTAAAGAAAAGAGCAGCTAGGGAATGCAGATTTGTTGAATCAGGCTGCTTTTCGCCTGCTCTGTGAACTGGGAGCTTCCTTCTTTTGTTGCATGCTGCAGTGTTGATGGCTTCCTCGGTGGAACCCTGGGCCTTGAGTTGACCACATCCTGTCATCTGAAACGGCTCGACCGAGTTGTTTTGCTCTGCCGGGCTCGGGAGGCGGCGGGACTGGACCAAGGCAACCTACGTGTCCTTGCTGGTCTTGTCGTTTCTACTTTGCCTCTGGCGCTTCTCGGTGGCTGCTGCCTGGCTGGCCTTCCTAGTGGCCACTTGGCTTGGTGCTCCGCAGTGTAGGAACCCAACCCGTAGCACATGGATGAAGTAAAAACGTCGAAGCACACCTCCATGGAGCTGGACTATGTCCAATCCGTGCATAAAACAGAGGCAGAGGTGTGTGAGAGAAAACTCGATCCATCATTTTCTTCGGTGTGCTTCATAATATGATTGATTTTCCCCTGTTGGCTACTGGACATATCTGGACATATTTCTTTTTTTCCACGGGACCTGGGGTTTGCGGTCGCCACTGAGGTGCTGCAGCACTCCTCCGAGGGCTCGCTCTTGCAGCGGAACATTCGGGTCTTTTGGGCGGCTGCAGTGGCATCTCGGCCACCAGATCTCAAGTTGCCACTGAGCTTCCCTGACTTCGAAGGGCACCACAAATGGCCGGCTTCCTGTTGGGTTCCCTTTTAAGCCGGCTTCAGCGGGTTTCTGCAAAAAGGCACAACCATTTGTCAGAAGCCTTCTCTGGTTTTGACACGTCAACATTCTGCCACTTGCCAAACACGGAGCCTTTGCGCGCGGAATAGCGATGTCCTGCAAAAACGGAGGTTTGGCGAGGTGCTCCACAAAGGTTTTGGCAGTCCGAGATTTCATTTCAGATGCAGGTACATGATATACATGCACGCATGCGCCATTTTGCTGGTGTGGTGCGATGACATGACTGTTTGTTTGAGGCTTCGGATCATACATTTGCGGAGAGGGCTTTTTTGAGCAATCCTTCCCAGAAAACGCGAGGGAGTGCGAGAGCACCCAGTGGCAAGTCATCATGCAATCACTGAATCAGCATTCACTCTTCACTATGGAACACGCTGATCACAACAAAGACAGCTTGAATTGTGTATGGACAAGGTGGCAGAGTCATACAAGATTTTCATTTGCTAGGATGAGAATAACACTGGTCGGGTGCAGAAAAGGCATAGTGCTCAGGAAGAAAAGACCCTGGAGTAGGAGTTGTCCGTAGTTCTGCCTGAGGGGCATCACCTTTGAAGGAGCTAGCAGCACCTCAAAATTTGATAGGTACACAGTTTCTCCAAGTGCAGTACAAGGCTTAACCATATTCTTTCGGCAGGATAGCTATTTGCTCAGCAAGGCCCTTTGCACGCAGTCACTGCTGAGGTTTCTGACGAGAAAGCACGTCTCAAATCAACTCACTGTACGCTGACGGCTTCCTAAGTGCTGAGGTGACGATCACGGTTCTGAATACTCGCTGGAAGCTGCGGGGTCTGAACATCACGGAGGGCGAGGAGTACAATTCTGAATGGGCGGCTACACATCAGGCCGGAAGCTGCAAAAAGCCGGCAACGCCTCACGCACACAGCAACCGCGAGCAAGTGTTTCTGCGGTGCTGCCTGGTAAGTGGGACGTTTTGGACCCGGGTCGCCGCTTCGGTTGATTTCAGAAGCACAGCACACGCACCGTCAACAGCCAGCATGGGCCCTAAAGGCCCCCAAAAAGGACAGTCCACACAAATCTCCTGAAATGGGGGTGTGCCTTTTTTAGATTTTCCTTGTGGTTTTCCCTTCAACTCCAACCAACAAGGGTACCCTCAAAAGAAGACATTTCCCAAATGTGCCTTCTTCTGGGCAGCGAGGTCATCGCGCGGTTCCTGTACCACCAGATTCTCAAGCACTGGCCCCAGCCTTCGGTTTCGGTCAGAATGATCTAGGTTTGTCTCAGGAGGGACCCCCAAAATGGCGGGTGTCCTGTTGGTTTCCTTTTAAAACCAGCCAAAAGGGGGTTCTTCTGAAAAAAGACAAGCCACCTGGCTCATTGTTGCGTTTCATTGTCCGAGTTTTGCAAACTGCAAGGCGCTGGGTCCAGATGGGGCTTTTCGCCCAGGCTGAAGGGCTTTTGGATCAAGCTCGGCCAGCAGCTTTCCGTCAACGTGTCTTGGAAGCATCGGGAGGAAGTGGTATGGACAAGCGGCGCAAGGCGCTGTCCCTCGACATGCTGTGGATGGACGAAATCCTGCACCACTTTGAAACCATGGGAATCCATTGTTTGTTGATATTGGGAATCATCATTCCAGGGTTTCTTAGGTGGTCCAGGATTTCGTCCCTCAACAGGTGAAGCACAGTTCGGCCCGTTGCCATGGTTCACAATGCGGCAGTCGTCATATGTTTTGTTGCGTCTCTTGTAACTGCTTGCCCCTTTTGTTTCTGTAGCCAGAGTCTAGTTCTTTGTTTGTATGGTATGGCTTCTAGTCACTCGATCAGATGTCTCTTTGCTCTCCTTTGTTTCCTGCTGCTTCAGGCGCCCAGGGTGCACGGATCCATTCACCCACCCACCCACCCACCCACCCACCCACCCAAGGTGGTCATGGCGGCCCCGTACCGGGAGGAGTTTGGGAAGCTTCAAGACAAGATTCCTTCCATGCCAGTACCTGGGCTGATGGCGAAGTCTGTGGGTGTTTGCTGTTGTTGTGTTTGCAAGAGATATGCACCTTGTCTAGCATTGTTTTGCTGTTAAGGGTCATGTCAAATTTAGGCCACTTAAAAAATACTTGATTGCGCAATTGGTCTGAATGCGGCCCTATGCTCTGGCACTGCATAGCAATACAATGCAGTATCAAACAAACAAATGCTATCGTTTGAGTTGTACACCTCTCATAACACGCTTGGAGCAGTTGTTGAGGTCAGTGAGGTTAAGCCGCTTGGTTGGCACTTAGGCATGCAGCATTGCATGGCAAGTTGCACCACTCGCCACACGCGTCTCTCTTCCCTGCAGCTCTCTATCCCATGGGATCCTCAGGCGCACACTGCAGGAGGAGTTCGGCAAAGAAGTTGTACAGAGCTTGGTCAAGCCTTGACAAGTCATGCCATTTATTAATCGGCTGAGGCAACAGATGGGTATGTGTCAAAATATGGGAAGCACCAAAATTGTGGTTTTCCTTGGTTCCCTTTAGCCAACCTAAAACGGGCATCCCCACAAAGCAACAACCCCTGTGCACTTAGGCCGATACCCTGAGCCTGGATGCTGAGCCGCTGGGCACTGCTTCCATTGCCCAGGCGAGATCGATTTCATTCGCTTTCGCTTTTTGCAAGCAGACACTTTGGGCCGAAGCCTTGGAGACACGACACAATTCCGAGCACCACAGCTGATTTGCATCACAGCTTCCGAAGAGGCAGCATGGCTTTGCACAGGTGCACCGTGCGATTTGGCGTCCAAAGGGTGCGGCGCATCGGGAGGTTGCATCTTGGCTTGAGTCGCGACTTCGGCTGTGTATGCTTGGTTCAAGACTGAGGTGGTGAAAGTGGCTTGGATGAATTTAGCAGCTTGCTTGATGGTTCACTTGGCCCATGGGATTAAGTTGCATTGACTTTTGAATTGCTCAATTCTACATTGGCGGCGTGGATATGCAGCGAATCATTGGTCAGATGCATCGTGCCAACCAAGCTTATGAGTCCGAAAGGCGCTTAAAGCGCATAGCTACATGCCGGACCCTATGAAAGGCATAGAGCCGGAGCACACGAGTGGATCATGGATGATTTCACTCAAAATGATGACCCAAGTCCTACAGGTCGATCCCGTTTCGACTCGAAAGCAATTTGACAAGCTCGACTTGGAGCGCCATTTTTGAACTCGAAGTCGTAGGTGCAGCACCGGGGGGTCGCCGCCCAGTTCCACCAGGACCTCCGCGCCTCCGCAGTGCTGGCCAAACTCCTGGCCCTCGTGGACCCGGACGGGGCCTCAGGGCCTCAGGGCTGCAGGGCCGCAGGGCCTTAGCGCCTCGGGACACGAGTGGACGGAGATGTGGGTGTTGTCCGGAGAAACCAAAAGGGGGAACCATTGTTGGGTCGAACAAAGGACACTCCCATATGGGTGCAAAGGAGCGGAGAGGAGAGGTGGCGGATGGATTTGGCAGAAAGGAGAAGGGCAAAGGAGACATGGCAACCTTAGGAACTTCTGTTAATGAGGGAGGGCCAGCTTGAAAACCTTATCATTCTAAACAAACTCTTGCAAGAGAAAGGCACTTTCGGGGAAGCACATTTTTGGGGAAGACTTGAGCCTTTTCTAGTGGCTTAGTATTGGTGCGTTTAATCAAAAAAACTTCTTTTTCTGGCAGGTTGTTTATGGCTTAGGGGCTGTAGGGCGGTCCTGAGTACCTTTAATTGGGGGGGGGGGTTGGGGGAGGCCCACAAAATGATTGGGTACTTTGTGTTTTCAATTCTTGTTGGCCCTTCATTTTAGTATTGGTGGGGAAAAGGGGGAACCTTCAACCGCGGGGGCTTTTCCAATCGTCGCCTGACATGAAAGCTTACCTGGCCTTCTCCAAACCGAGGAGGGCGTGCCAGACATGCGGCCGATCATCAGTGCCTTGCGAGAGGCGTGGAGGGACTGTGCTGAGAATTTGGGGGGAAGACGCGTGACTTGCAGAGATTGCATCCGAAGCCAATGTGGGTGTGGGTCAAAAATAGGCGCCCATACTGGATCCGGGTAAATAGAAACGAGGACTAAAACCTGCCGTCCCCTGGTGGTTTAAATTTGACCCACACCCATTTTATCCGAAAGCAGCTGTGGCTTTGAATTGATTTTAGAGAGATACATTTTGCTGAATTACTGCAGGTGCCAGTAGTTATCCCGTGTGGCCAGCCTCTTGTTTTCGAGCCTCCCTACAAAGGTTGACAAGAGGTGGTTCACCTGGGGCGGCTGTATCTTGAATGATTATTAGTTTCCCTCCCGACAATCACGGTTGGGTGTGAATCAGCGCACGTGGCTTATACAAACTTCCACTCACTAAGGTTTGAGAAAACTAGCTTGGGGCCCGGATCAAGGTCGCATGAGAGTTTGATGAAGTCGTTGAGACAGTGAGAATCCGAATCCTGTCAGGTCACCATCAACGAGCTGGACTTCCGGCTTGAGGCCTGTCCATTGGGTTCCATCAAGGCAAACAGATGCGCCCGCCAGCACCTTTCAGTTGTGACGGTGATATCTAAACCGATGCAACAGATGTGGACAGCTTGTCATGCTGTAGGCGAAGAACCAGTCTCGCGCGAGAGAAGCAGCTGAGAGGCATCGTGCCAACGTGTTGATCCCAGAGGCTGGGGCATGTTGGTGTGACCTAGCAGGAGTGAAAGCAGATTGCTTCACTTGGACCCGAATGGGCGCATTTGACTCCGTTTTCTTCTAAGAATGTTGCAAGAGCCAGCTGAGTTTTGAGATGGACAGGTGGTGACAGAGCTGGTAGCCCAACGCGCGATGTGTATGGGCTTTGTTCACGGGGAGTCCCTGGCCAAAGCTGCCAAGGAGCTCACGCAGGACTGCACGCACGAAATGACATGGGTGTGAGTTTTAGCCGGATCCCTTTGGACGAGGGTTCCCTCGTTTGTGCCTTTGTCAGCGGCAGAAGGTAATGTTGACCCCAGATGAATCAACCCATGCTATGAATAGGGGGTGTTCCCTCCAAAAGTGATGAACCCCCACAAAAATGGCGCCCCCCTGTTTATCAACCAGGGATTTATGGATCATAGAGGGCGCTCCCCGCGATGTGGTTTTAAGCTGCCACTCTTGCTTAACTTGTATCTTTATTTTATATTAAAATTTAGTCCGATTTAAAGCTAAGACACTGTAAATCGCTGTAAATACCTTGCTTTTCTGCATGTGCAGGCGCTGGCGCGAAATGCACATGTTTGCCTTTGTGAGCCATGAGCCATCTGCATCTGAGCTTGCATTTGTGCAAAACAACAAAAACCTTGAGAACAAAAACAATACAAGAACCAATATTCAGAGAGTCTTCTGGTCCTTCAGTGTTTGATTCTACACAAACAAACAAGCAACAACACCTCGAAAACGAGAAGACACAACCAAAGCAACAAACCATATTCAGAGACTCTTCCCAAGTTGTGGTCTTCCACAGATTGTTTCTTTTTCTTCTTTTAGTTTTCACGGTTTTTATTTTTAGGTTTTTGGAGGTGTTTGTAGTTGTCTTTTGTGTAGATGCAGACACTGAAGGAACAGAAGACTCTGAATATTTGCTTTTTACTTCTTTCGTGTTTTTGTTTGTTTCTCGAGTTGTGCTTCTTTTTTGGTTCTTCAAGATTCTCTGTCTGAACTCACCCTACCCCGCAGTGGTCCCTGGCATTCCTGCAGTGTTCCCTTAGTATCCCCTAACCATTCCCCACATATTCACTTAATTTTGCCCTGGTATCCCTTAGTATTCTCTTGGCATACCCTCTAGTGTTCCCCCAGTGTTTCCCTAGTATCCCATCAATATTCCCCTGGCATTTTTTAGAAATTATGGTGTTTTTGGTTTCTCGGGGTGTATTGCTTTTCCCTCATGTATCTCTGCCTGAAGTCTCCACTGCACAACCTACCCCTTAGTATTCACCTTGTATTCCTTTAGTATTGCACTTGGGGAACCTGTTTTAACAAACACACGCACACGGATTGCAAGACTCCTGCATCACTGGCAGGAGAACACGGTTGGACAATCTAAGCCACTCTGCACTCTGTCCTTATGAATTCTACTTAATATCTTTGTCAAATTCTATCTGAAATCATAAAGACTTTAGTAGGAAGTAATCCAATTATAATTTCCATTTTAAGTTGGAGTTGTAGCACTGATTATTTCAATCGAAATGTTGCACAGGATGTCCTTTCCAATAGACTTGTCTTTTCAAGTCAGCAAACAGTTAAACACAATATTCAACAATGTTGGGAATTCTTTAATTTTTGAATTCTTATTTGAGAGAGGTATGAAATCATACTATGAGAATGCTAGGGGAGTACTGAGGACATACTTGGAATATTTAGATCGGACTTGTAGCAATGATTATTCAATGTCAAATTCACTGGCGCACGTGATTTCCTTGCCTGTTCAACAATTTTGGGGACCTTTGAGTCTTCCTTAGGAATTCCTAGCTAATATATACATATATAATATATTTATGAAGTTATACTAGGATACTACTAGAGGAATACTGAGAAAATACTTTGGGAATATTATGTAAATACTGCCGGAGTGTGCTGAGGAACCCAAAAGGCAAGACAATACTACAGGACGAGGGGAATGCTAGGTGAACATTCCATCGCAACACGGGAATAACAGGGAGAATGCAAAGGGGAATGCTCAGAAAATACTAGGGGAACACTGTGAGAAGACTAGGGGTGCACCAGAAGCTACTAAGGAATACTAGGGCATCAGGGGAACACTAGAATACTAGGGAACTGAAGGAATAGAGGCAAGATAATGCTAGAGGAATAGAGTACCAAAGGAGTACCAAAGGAATCAGACTAGGGGAATACCAGGGAAGTACAAAGGGTGAATACTGAGGGAATACTTGGCAATCAGGGAATACAAGAACACTGAAGGAGTGATGGAGGGTATACCAAGAGAACACTAAAGGAATAGTAGGGGAATACCGAGGATAGTACTAGGGGATGAATACTAGGGGAATACTAAGGGTGAATACTAGCTGAGAACTAGCTGAGAATACTAGGGGATTACTAAGAAAATGCTAGGGGAAGTACATATTGCACGTGCTGCAAAGAATTCCTAATCATGCGAAAGGCTACTATGTACTTACTCCAAAATAGTTGTTTCGCCTAGTTCCCAGCACCGGTTTGGTCAGAAAACATCGTAACACATGGTGTTTTGTGCCCTTTTTCGTATTAGAATCACATCGCCACCAACACCCGCTCTCTTATTAATCTGGGGTCACCATTAGGGTCTTTGCTGCAATTTGGGAAGGAGCAAAGAGATGCACTTATCGCCAACTTGGCGGACCACTTCGCTGTGCAGTTTGCGGTGGACGGGCATTTCCATGCAGATCCTCATCCCGGGAACCTCATGGTGCAAACAAACACTGGCAGGCACAAGGGAAGGGTGGGAGCACCCTACGACCGCATTGGATTGATTCTGTCCAGTTCCAAACTGAAGTTTGCCATTCGCGTCTTATCTACAGTGCGCCAAGTGCTTTTTTGCTCTCGCGACAGACCTATAGCCCCAGGTTGGTGGTGCTGGACTGGGGCATGTGCATCACCCTCTCGCCGCAGAAGCGGCTTGGCACCATCCGCTGGTTTGGCCCGCCTTCGAAGGAGCTTCTGCAGGTTAGCTCTGTGTATGGCCGCTGCAGAACTGCGGGAATGTTTGTCTCATAGCAATCTGGAGGCCAACTCTACGTGGCGTTTGGAAAAACTTGCTGGACCTATTTTGGATGGGAAACTTCAAAATCCGAAGGAACACCCGAAAGAACCCAGCCTCTGTCCCCAGAAACGAAAGCCATGGCGCGTGGTTCGCTGTTTTTCGGGAAGAGCTGAGGACCCGGGCCTATGCCCAGCTCTTTGTTGCCGCAGGCACCTCCAATGCCTGGGGAGCCTTGCTTGAAATGAGCAAATATAGGAGCAGAAAGCCTACACCACTTGGGAGTTTCTCAAAAAATGGACAACGGGACCGTGTTTGGTATCTAAAGGGAAACCGAAAGGAAACCAGCCTGAGGGGTGGAGGGGGATAGGTCTGTATAAGAAATTCACGAATCCAAATTGGAGGGCCACCCATTTTGTCATTCTCCTTTGTGAGGTCCAAAGCTCGGCCCTCAAAATGGATGGTCGACGTCTCACAAACATGGTAGCAGAGTCCTATTTGGCTATGAAGTTTAATAGGGGACCACCTCACAAGTGGTGGATATGAAAAATCCCCACCTAAATTCGTGTGCACCCACCCATTTGAGAAAAGACCCCGATACAAAAGATGTCCACTCAAAAGAGAGAGCTGTTGAAGCCTCAGGAGTGGTAAATGCTCTCAGGGACATCGGCGTGACTTTCAAGGACCGAATGGGAGGCAGAAATCAGGAATTGTGTGTAATGCTGTAATACATTGTAATGCAATGCAATGCAATGTACTGTGATGGTTTGTTTGTTTGTTTGTTTGTTTGTTTGTTTGTTTGTTTGTTTGTTTGTTTGTTCTTTTGTTTGTTTGTTTGTTTGTTTGTTTGCTTGCTTGCTTGCTTGTTTGTTTGTTTGTTTGTTTCTTTTGTTTGTTTGTTTGTTTGTTTGGTTGTTTGTTTGTTTGGTTGTTTGTTTGTTTGTTTGTTTGTTTGTTTTGTTGTTGTCTTTTCTGTCTTTGTTTCGGGTTATTGTACTGGACGTTTTCTCCCGCGTGCAACTTGGAAATATGAGTGCTCACGCTTTCTGTAGGAATCAACTACATTTCTTTGCTGATTGCTCCGACGGCGTTGCGGCTGAATTCACAAAAAGCCAGCCTCAACAGGGTGCACACCAACCCTTCAGCCTAAACAACCCTAAACCGGACATCAAGCTCACCCTTTACACGGCCAAGACAACCCTACGCGCATCCTAAACCAACCCTACGCCCACGCCAAACCAACCTCAAACCAACCCAAGTCAGTCCTCAACTAGCCTCCCAGCAAAGTAATGCTACAGCAGCCCTAAACCAATCCTACCTATTGCTTCTCTTGCCTATACATCTTGTCCATTTGTTTCTCTGCATCTGTTGCTGCTACATCTCTTGCGTTTGCTATTGTTGCATTTTTGCAGCTGTCGCTGCTGCCATTTGTGTATTTTAATATTGTCCATTTGTTGCCACACGCCAACCCTGAAGCCCCTCAAACCAAGCGAAAGTTAATCTTAAGCGAACTTTGAATCAATGCTCAGCCTAGACCAACCCTGAACCTATCCCAAAGCAACCATTCACCCATGCAAAATCCAGTAAACCAATCCGAAGCTACTTCCAACACAATCCTTTTCCAGCCCCTGACCAATCCTAAACACGCCCTAGTAGTCTAAATCAACCTTGAAACCACCCCAAACCAACCCCAACACACACTTCAATTTAAAATGAAACAAGCTTGAAACCGACCCACCCGGATCCCACCTTGGACCGACCTGAGACCAATCATTGAAAAACCCGAGACCGCACTAGACCAACTCCAAACCCACCCAAAAGCAACAGACCCAAACCGTTGATTCACGTGAAAGCAATCGCCCGACGTCAGTGGCCATCAGAATCACACGAACCCACCGCACATCCCTCCAACACCCTCAAGGGCTGGGTTTCCGTGAAAAAGAATTGCCGGGACAACCCCATTAGCCTCAAGTTCTGCCCCCCTTCGGAAAGAGCAACAACGGGCTGAACCTGAATCTGCACTCATGTTCGGCTTGGTTTCAAGATACAGGGCGAGAGACCAGTGCTTCCTTGGTTTGCTAGCCTGGTTCGCACTCACACGACATGTTTAGCGTGTGCTCTGTGCTGTCGTGACTGCAGGAGGGCGATGTGTTTGAGCCCGTTAGCTTCCTGAGCTTCCTCCGCTGCTTGACTGGCTACAGAGCAGTGCGTCTTCGGCAAGCCTGAACGGCCATTTTTGCTTGGGAGTGCCGATTTGATTGGCGGCTGTGAGGTTTTGGATTGCGGGAGACGCAGCCGCAAGACGAGGCGAAGGGTCAGGCTGAGAGTTTCATGAAGGCGCGGTGGTTTGTTTTACTGCCGTGCAAGCCAATCGACGCAGAGAGGCGGAGTGGTATTGCAGTGATATTTGGCGCATGCAAGTCGGGACGTGTAGCCTTCCAAAGACTATCAGCCTGGTGACGTCTAAGGCCGGAGACGACCTGTACGAGCGAGGGCCGAAGCGCTTCAAGAAGTCCCCCTTTGAGACTTTCACAGGGGACTGCCGCGGGTGGGGGAATGTTGCAGGTTGAAACTAGTTTTTTGCGAGGACATTCGTGGGCAACTTCTGTACTGGCCCGTTGACATTGGGTTTGTTGTGCCCCCTGAGAGAGAGCATCAAGCAGAGTTCATCCGGCGGAAGGACTTGACCTACTTCTTCAAAGCCCTGGACTTGCTCTGGTGCGTGGCGAGCTCAATCGCCTCCCCAATAGCCCTCGTGCTTGAGGACTGGTTCGCAAACGACAGCCAGAGGTTTGGGGTGCGACTTGAGGTCTCGAGCCAACTTCACACTCGTCATCCCATACTGCAGACCATGTTCCTGCGCTTCTTGGCACTTGTCATGGCAGACGCATCTAAAACAAAAGTCTCTCCCAAGCCGGCCATCCAGCTTGCTTTACCGAAGGGTACTTTGGGGGGTAGCCGGGTAGACATAGGAAACGCAGAAGCCGAAAATCTTTGCCGCAGGTTCGTGCGCATGCCTTGCTGGCAGCCAGGGCGTTCCCAGGACGGAAGCAGCCCGGTTCTGCTCAAGTGGGATCGATGAGTGATCTTGCCACCAATGGGCGAGGCCTCGAAACTCACCTGAGACAAATCTAGTGGGGATGAGTGCAAAGAAAATATCCATGATTCAGCAAGCACGCAAGCAAGCCAGCAATTTGCCCCTTCTGTGAATGCAAGTGCTACCAGGGCAAGGCCTTGCGATGGTAAGGACCTAGGGACCCCGCGCCCGGGAATCCGTGAGGAGACTCCAAGAGCTGCTTCCGGCGCCCAAAGTGTTCAGCGCCCAAAGCAACGGCCTTCAGCTGCAGCTGCAGCAGATCTTGCAGAGGCACCTTTGCGTTTGGGCCAGGAGGATCCAAGCAGACTTGAAGATTGTCCATGTCAAAGTAGGGCTATAACGGACCCTTTCTGAAGCACTGATGCATTGCACACTGTCCTGGGGCTACGAAGGACCTTGAACTTGCTGGCAATGCAGTTGACCTGTCCTCAAACGTGTTTGCATGAACTCAAAGGGGCTGAGCCATGACGCGTTTAATGGTTGAGCATCTCATTGAACATATTGCGATGATTAATTTGTAGGTTTACACAATCAAGCACCCATTTGATGTATGGTGTAAGTTTCTCCCATAAACGTAGTCGCATTGGCATTCAAAGTTTTAAATGCAGCTGTCGCATATGGGTCCACTGTATGTTGGTTGGAGCTGTCATGTGAGTATGTTGAGTGTTTCTCTTTTGAAAAATGGAGGGGACTCCCCAAAACTCTCAAGAGGCTTCTGAGCATCATCATCCGTGGGCAACATAAAAGACGCTGTGGAGATAGTTTTGCTCAGTGTACACTGAAAGTTGACGCAATGCAGTTGTCCGCACGTTCATCTAGGACCTTTGGGATGATCACACCATGGGGAGGAGCCATCTCCTTTCACCCAACCGCTCTTTTCGGTAAATAAATCGGGTGAGCCCCAAACATGGGTGGTGAAAGCCGAACCATCGTGGGGTTCATGGTTGTGGAAAACAGGGCAGGGCGTTAGGTCCCATTTCCGTCTTGGGGCTGGTCGACTTTGGTATCACAGCAAGGTGATAATAACTACCCCCGTGTAATACAACATACCTTGATACCAAGAGAAACCACTTTTGGTTGATTTCAAAGGGAAGCCAACAGGAATCAGGGGTCCTTCCATTTCCGTCTTTTGGTACCTCTCATAGTGGCAGTTTCAATGCACCAGGAAACTAAATCCACTTTGTGTAAATCTCACTGATTTCTGAGAAACCCGCCAAATGACCCAATGGGTCTTAGCTTCGCTTCGAGACAACACCCCAACCCCCCCCCCCATCCCCCCCCCCCCCCCCGCCGTGTTTTTCGGGGCGACGGTCGGTAGGTTCTACTTGGAGGGCGAGCTCTTGGGCGCTCAGCTCTGCGTGCTGGACCTCAGCGGGCCACCCAAAGTCCTGGCAGATTTGGCTCTCGGGGTGCAAAGCTGGATACACCAGGAGGGGAAGTCAGCGGGCTTCGTTTTGTTCTTCCTTTTGGGGTTGGGGGTTGGGGTTTGGGGGGGTGGGATGTTTCTTGGTTTTCTTTGTTTTCCTTTTTCTTGGGTTTGGTTTTCTCTTGTTTTGCTGGTGTGTGTGCGTGTGTGTGCCCCCTAGCAACCTTAGCAGAAGCCCTTGAGGCGCCTTGCCGGTATACGTTGCGCCTCATTCGTAGATGCGCTTTCCTGTTTTCACGGTGGCAACTTGGTTTTCTTAGTTGCTTGGTGCTCGATGTTTGTTTCTTGGATGTTGTTTGTTTTTCCGCGTTTTGTTTAGTAATCAGCATGGCATGCTCGTGGTGGTACCAAGAATGGTTGGGTCAATGTCCAGATCATTCATTTGGGGACCGGGTCGGCTTTGAAACAGGAGCGGTGATAACTCAAAGGTTTATCCGCAGACCCAAAGGGCCATTCTGCTGACCCCCTGCTTAGAACGTCACTGATAGCAAGCCGAAGTCAGAAGCAAATGCAACAACATCTCAGATGATCCGCGAGCAGGACCTTCAAATCCTTCAGCAGGTTGCAAGATGCACCTGGCCGCTTGACCCTTTTGCTTTGTTCTCCTGCGAGGAGCCTGTCACGCCGACGACGCTCTTCAACTTGCTTGACATCTCCAAGCTGATTGCAGCTTTGACTTGACAGTTAAAGCTAGTTGTCGCCTGGCAAAGCCTTTGTTGCGCTTCAGAAAGGATCCGAAGAGCCCCATCGCTTGACAGGCCTTTGCTTCTCCATTCCCCACAAAGTACCACAAGTTTAGACGTGGGGGTGTTCGCCACGGCTTTTGCCCAATGAGCATTGCTGTACGACGAAATCTTGTGGCCTAGCGGGTTGCAAGTGACGTTGTTTTATAAGCTGCCCCCAACGATTAAAGGACACCCCGTCCCTTTCAGAAACAACATTTGGAGGACACATCCTGGAAGTTACGAGGGGGTCCAGTTTTAGGTTTGAGTGGTCAATGTGTAGTGCGGGATACGTTTTAATTTGTGGGAGGCCTGATCTTTTACGTACAGTCCGGCTTCATTGTACATCTGGAAAGAGCATTGCGCCAACTTTGATTGATTCTGCAGTGTATTTCCACCGCAACAACCGTGTGCTGCGCCCTTCAGGTCGTTCATTCTGGGTCGAGGACATCTTTCAGCTCAGCACAAATACTCCCTCCACCATTGAAACAAAGCAGCCGGTTGCATGGGATGCGCATCCCAACTCCTGCAGCCCGCCCAAATACTATAGGCCTCTGATTGATTTGTGTCTTGCCGACCCGCGCTTCCACAATAGTCCTGTCCCCATTCGGCAAAGGCACAATAAACTAGTGTCCAATGAACCTGAGTTTTGCCCGTCCACGTGGCCGGTCCAGACCACCATGGCTTCTCAAAGACTTGAGAGATCAGCATTCAGCTCCAACATGCACTGTCACTGACATCCCATCAAATGGCTTTGAATTTTAATTGGGGAGCTTTTGTGGGCATCATTTACATTGGGCTATATGTCCACCAGCTTTTTTTTAATGGGAGAACAAAAAGGATCCGGCCAGCCAGACGTGTGGGGGTGTTCTCGCATGAGGTCGCCATGTCTGTCCTCCGCCTGGTGGACAAAGGCCGTTTGCAGCTGTCCTGCAAGCTGCCTTTGCCGGAACCTGCCGCTCGGCGAGGGAATGTGCTTGAGAGGGAGCTCGGAAGTTGCTGTCTGCAGCTTGGTTTGACTCGAGTGCTTTTTCAGTGGAAGTGATTCTCAAGTGTTTCATGGGGTTGAGCGCATCTCATTCGAATACCATTCCACAAGTAATCCCGTGCTAGAACATAGACTCCTTGAGGTGTTACTTGAGGCAACCCCGAATATCATGAATTGGTGGCTGACTCAGCACATGCGAGTGTTGCGACGGCCACAGGTCACGGTCGAGCAGGTTCTCTCGCACAGAGCAGGCTATTGGCAACCTTTGCCAGACGGCATTGTGAACTTGCCACTTGGCTATTTTTAAGTTGCATAAGTTTTAACCGGGAACAACATACAAAAGTGGTTGGTGGACATGAATCTCCACTAATGATGTCCACCAAAGGGTCCCCAAATCAAAATCCCCCTCCTTCCAAACACAGTCCTGTTCTCTTGCCAAATGCAATCGTTCATGAATTTGAGCATCATGCTCGCTGTGACGAGATCTCAAACCTGCCAAGACCCCTATTGATGTTTGGGGTGCTGAGGTGTTTGGACAGAGGGGTTCCAGGCAACCCCGAAACTGGGGGAGGTTTTCCTTTGCTTCCCTTTGAAGCCCAAAAAGTGGAACCACCAAAAGTCCTTTGCTGATCTAGACCCATAGCAACGGGAGCCGTTGCAGTCAAATCATGCCTACTACTACTACTACTACTACTACTACTACTACTACTACTACTACTACTACTAGTACTACTATTATTAATAATTATTATTGCAATTATTATTATCATCATCATCATTATGTACGAATAGTGTCTAGGGGAAATTATTGGAGCCTAAGCTGAAGAAACCAGACGGATGGTTCCCCTTTTTGGCGCGCCAGCCAAACACCGCGGCTCAGGCCGGAGCTGGCGGATTTAGAGCAGATGCTCTCCGCGCTGCAGCGCACCCGTCCCTGTGAGGCGCCGGATGCTGCGCAGCGCAGCTCGGAGCGATGGAGGCTCTGTGCTTTTTGAGGTGCCTGGTTTGAGCAGGAAAAAGGTGTACCCGGTACCCCTCCCGCCAACTAACATGGAAGTGCAAAAAGGCCCTGAGGAAAGTAGTCTTTCTACAGGGGTCTGTGTACTTCCATGTTTGCTGGTGGGAGGGTATTTTGGAGGTTCGCCTTTTGCATGTTTTGTTTGGTTTGAAGGGAAATCAAAAAAACGGCAAGATGACACGGCGTTAGAATGCACCCTTTTGGAACCGATGATACTTTAAATGTTGGACAATTTGAATGTCTTAAGCAACATCGACCCCCCAAAAGGTTGGTATTCCTTGTTTCGTTGTGCATTGACTGTTTTGAAAAAGGGTACCCTCAACAACATGATCCCCCCCTCCCAAATTGTAAAACACCTCCACGTGCCTTCTTTGAGGTGAGTAGTGCAGGTATTTGACCTTGCTGCATGAATTTGGGACTGTCCCAATGAGTTGACAAGCAGTCAGGACACGCCACAATGACACTTCCACTGAAAAAAACACTGCATTTGAGGATCAAACATGATGAATGGCTGGCATTCGCTTGTGCACGCCAAAACTGCTTTCGAATAATTCAATTACCACCAGCACGCGTGTCTGTCTTATAATGGCCTGCAGAAGGATGCAATATTTCACAAGGCTAAAACCTCTTTTTGGAGCGGTGCAGATGACACCGACTTTGAACCTTTGTCGTGCAACTGTGAACTTGCGTGGAATATAAATTTGTTGAGTCTTTCAAGAACATGTCCAAACTAGGCACGCGCCAAGAACATTTTTGTTTAATCCTTTAACCATCCCAAAACGGACACCATTGAACTTGGATTTGCAGTTGGTGGGTCTTGTTTTAGGGGACCTCTCAACATGGCTTCGGTTTTCCTTTTGGTTTCAAAACAAAACACAAAAATAAACAAAACACAAAAATAATCAAAGCACTGCAACAAACAAAGCACGAAAAGAACCAAACAAAAAACACCACAAATCACAAATAGAAGGGATGTTCTTGTTCTCGCGCGAGGTTATCACTGCACTAGCTTTGGCTATCTCTGCGCTTTGGCCTGCCGAGAGGGCGGCTTGGAGCTGCAGCAGGAGCGAAGCGGTCGAGCGAATCGAAGCAGACGCCTTCCCATGGACGGGGGTGAGACCCAAAAGCATAGGTGTCCTTTTTGGTTGTTTTGCTAGAAAGACAGATGGCAATTCCTGGTTTACCTGGTGGTTTAATCATCTACCAGGGCCATTTGTTTCCCCTAAAAGGACACCTATGCCCAAAGATGTTCTTTTGGTTTTAAAAACCAACCCCAAAGGGTAAGCACCCTCAAAAACACGCATTCTGTTGTTTGGGCAAAAAAAGGTGGCAGTGCCTGTAGGGGTAGTGGGTCCGGCTGTTTTTTTCCATGCGTTTGGAACAATATGTTTGCGAGCGATCCACGGTTTTTTCCTGAGTCTAGAGTTGGTGTTGCGAGCATGCATGGACAAAGGCACTCTTTAGCCTGGAAGGGTCACCGAAAACCTTCATTTGAGCAATTTCGCAGAGGCGCAACCACACAGAAACCAAAACATGTCGCAAAAATGCGGCTTGCAGCATAAATAGCGAAGTGTGTTGCCCTCAGAAATTATGTTGCGCAAGGAGCCTCAGCCATGCATGTGCATAATCAGGTCAGCGAGCTTGCCTTCACCGTTTCGATGCTGCCATACGCGATATTTTGCTTGACAAGCCAAATGTGATCTTGCAGCGGAAACCGAGGGTCAGTGCTCATGGGGAGAAAGTCATTTGTCCTGTTTGCGACTAATCAGGCACAACCTTGAAAACTATCAAAACAGGCTACCAGCTGTTCAGAACCAGGGGGCTTTAAACCTTGGGATCCCACCACCACGACCAACATGCCAGATGATGCACAATGGTCCTTTGTTTTCTTGAAGATGTAGGCTTGCCACGTGCTTTGAGCATGGCGCTCACAAGTTTCCGAGCAATATGTTTGCACTCACACAAGTTGTTTTCCGGTTGCTGCCAGAAGAGTGTCTCAAGCAGCAAGCAAGCGCGAGAGTGAGAGTCTTTGGGAGTGCGCAAGGCTTGGGATGAGCTTTGCGTCAGCGCCGCTGCTTGGGCGGACGAAGTGGACCTGGACGCGAGTTCTCGTGGCAGAAATTCCGTTTTTTGCCGGCCGACGAAGCCCACGCGCCTTCAAATGGAGGGCTTTTAAAGAATGTACCAGTGCATCCCAGTTCCTAGTATAGTAGGTACCAAGTCGCTTTTTCGCCTTTTAAAGGGTGGCTCGCTTGACTACTGATACGCATTTTTACAGGTAACTGGAATGACTGGGTGGGCTTTCAACGTGGTTTTGCCGACAGGAGTGTCCCATGGCACGACAGACGCTGGCCCGGGACCAATCAGCTGCACGAGTAGAGGGTGACATGACCATCCCCGACTTTGAAGAGGCGCCGAGAGAAAATGGGTTGGAAGGAAACAAAGGAACGCCACCATGTTGGGGGAGGGGGGGAGGAGATCCGATTCCTAAAAAAGGAGACGCACAAAATGATTTGCCCTTGCGGCAGATGTGCTCCCCTCACAGCTTTCCCGCAGGTGGCGGAGATGATCTCCGCTGTGTACATGCTGAGACGACCTCAGCAAATGCCATCCAGCCAGCCGACAGATTCGCCCTGCGAAGGAATGCATCGCAAGACAAGCACGCAAGTGCATGAGGCTTGCTATGGTCAAGACTCCTTCCATGAGGGCTGAGAACACGCGCACAATGACCTCGCCCCCATACGAGGAGGTTTGAATGACCCGTAGCAACGCAGCGCTCCTGGATACCATGGCTTGAGCCATATGAGTCGCCTTTTTGCACATTTCCCTGCACTGCAATGGGAACCTTGGTGTTTGTGCTTTCCGGGTGAGGCTGGGCGAAGAAGGCTCACCCTCAGAGGCTTCAAGGACGTGGAGCGCGTAACCGGCTGATATGCAAACCAGCGACAGCGAGTGTTTCAAAAGAGTCCTAGATGGTTCTTTTCTAAGTCTGTATCAGATCATCCTACAAAAGGGGCTTTGATTTTGAGACTTGCTCAATTTATGTGCAGGGTTCAACTTGATAGATGCTGCCGTGTAGAAGTGTCAGGCTTACATTAGTGCTGCCCAGGCAACTGTCCTACTCATTTGTTGGCCCAAAGATGTCAAATCTAGCGTTGTGGGGAGTCCAGTGAGCTTCGTGCTGCATCGCTTCCCCAGGAGCCGAATGGAGGCCATCAGGAAGGATCTCTTCGGCCGTGATCACTTGGTGCACAGGCACATGCGCAAAGGGCTGAAGCATTTGGAGAGATTGTACATCCCTGCCAACGGCCAACTCTTTGGGCGATAGCTAACAGTTTCTTTGGTTGCACTGTCACTCCCTGCGTGCTTCACGCCACTCGGGATCCGCATGGCTGCGAATGATGCTATCTCCCCCAAGAGCTGCACCTCTGCAGCATGGCTCAAGGCTCCGAGCGGTTAAGCCGTTGAGAGTCTGCCATGCCGATTCCCAGCTCAGCATTGGCCAGCATTCGAGCAGGCTGGGACTGCCTTAGCATTAGTTTTCAAAAGCGGTGGAAAAGCGGCCATGCCTGAGATAGATATTGAAGTTTGTGGAATATGATATATATATATATACATATATATATATATATATATATAATTCTGTATAATTATGCAGCATAGCTTAGTGGGTTAATGGTTCAATGCCCTCACTCCACTCACAGTAGTGCAGACAGTGGTGTGAGTAGGGTGAACATGAGTATAGGATCCAATCGAAATGAACAGAGGATCGGTTCAAGCCTTCGTTTGTCATGAAAACTCCAGCACCTGGCTGCACGGCTTTTCAACCACGGCTCCAATTGGAGTGAAGGTACCGCTTTCCATGGTCTCATCTTCGGTTCTGTTTGGCATGGTCAAACAAGTTCCTATTTTTGGGGTCCGATACAGCAGTTACTCCCCCGCGCGTGGGGCAGGCGAGCACGAGAGCGATGCCATCAAATTGAGTTGGCCCGTCGCTCCACTATCTCCTAGGATTGCCGAGGCTAAGGCGGGGAGAAATGCCAGCCGCTGCAAGCTCTTGCAAGTCAGAAGTCTTGGGAAGCAAGGGAGCCATAAGCAATCAGCTCACCTGCAGAGATGGTCAACAGTGCGGGTTGACAAACCTTACAAGGCCAGCCTGCACTGACGAAAACGGACCACGAAGCCCCGACCATGTTTCATTGACTTCATTCCCGGTATCTTCCTCGCTCCGAGAGGAGTGTGACTCATGGAATGCAGTCTGTCAGGCGTCGTTGATGCAGGATGACCAGGTTTCCAACTTGCAAGAGACAAGCCCCAAGGCAGCATTTGAATCATCATGGTTCGGCAGCGAATGTAGCTCATCATAGCATGCCATAGCCCTTGGCAAAGTAAAGGATGGTCATCACTCGTCACCCGTGATTTTGGACATCCACTGTAAGGGAGTATAATGGGAATCATGGCCATGTCCCATACAAGGAGTCAGCAAAGGCAACAGAAGTCTAGTGGCACGTTGACTTGAAAGAAGCTTATTGCAGCCTCGGTCGCCAGCACCCCTTGAATCCATCGAACCGAGAGCGTGCTTAGTCCAACAGCAATTTGCCAGTCACCCAATTGGATGCCACAAATTCAGAAGCGCGTTGCAACAGAGACGTGTGGTGCAACAGACACGCGTTTTGGCTGTTCCATTGAAACAAAGGCCCACCCACAGAAGGGGAACCCAAGTTTAGCAGCTTCCTACATACCACTGCGGGACGAGCTTCTGGCGTGTCAGTCCTTTCCGTCGCATGAGCGCATGTGTATCTTTATGTCCTTGCATGCATGATCAAGCCAGCACACGCAGCGTTTGGCTGGAGAAGTGCATGCTTCGCCCCCTAGGAGCGGGCGTAGCGGGTGGTGGCGTAGGTGGCGCCATCCTGCAAGCGCTTTTCTGGGGCCTTGAGCCGGCTGCGATCGGGGACCTGGGACACTGCTCAGGGGCACCGCTTCATTGGGGGCCTGCCTTCGACGTGCCGTCCCTTTGTGCAGGGATCCTCCTCGGGTTGGCGCTCGCTCAGGTACTGGACCTCATCCTCATCATCAAGCATTACTTGTTTGCTGTGATCAGGAACCGGGCCAACCAGTGGAGCCCTGCTGTACTTGTGCGGAACCGGCCGTCTGCATGAGCCGGAGCTCGGCCGCTCGTGAGCTGGTTGAAATCCGTCAGCGGCTTGCCGGGCTCCAGGACGAGGTAGCAAGCCTTGCCGACCGAGTGACTGCTTTAGAGCTGGCCTCTGAGTTTGAGCTCGTGCTGCCCGCCGAGGAAGCTGCCGAAAGCCCCCGTAGTACCAGTGCTGCATCATCCCACGCCCCTGTGAGCACGGAGCGGCGATTGGCCGCAGCAAGGTCCATTGGGTTGTTCTGGGTTCGCTGCCTGAAGGGCAGAGCCAGGGGCCCATCGGGTCGCGACTCGATCCCCCTGCCCAGTGTGATCTACGTGTGTGTGCGAGACATCAACGGCCATAAGCATTCGCCCGTTAAAGTGTTCCAGAGCTTTGCCCAGCTGGTCCCGTGGGTCGGCAAGCGCGGAGAGTTCGGGGATTCGGTGTTCACCGGTTTCCCCTCCGAGTGGGAGGCCCGTGCTGCCGTCACTGCTGCCGGCCTTGAGTGGCCATGACCGAGCCTGAGCCTGCCACGCCGGTGACCGAAGCCCTTGACGGGCCTCGTAATAATCTGATAATAGGGGATAGTGGGGTAGATAACTTTTACCCTTTTGGTGTCCTCAGTATCGTTGAGAGTGAGGCCACTACCACTGTGGCCGCCGCTGCCATCTGCCTGGTTGGTCCGGACGTGCTTGTTGCCATCCCGCATCGTGCCTGGCACAGGACCATTGCCCGGCGTGTAGTGCCCCTGCAATTGTTCAGCCGACCGTCCGTGGCCACAGTTCGGGGCGCCTCGCCAGAGAATCGTGACCAACCGTTGCCCGACCTGTCACTGCGTGTTTGGGTCGGACTCCTCAGTCACGAAGCCGAAGGTTTGGTTAGTTTCCCTGCTCCCGGAAGTGAGGTCGCCGTCGACTTCTCGTTTGCAGAGCAAGAGGGAGCTGCCGAGGTCCTCCCATTTGCTGGAGACCTAGTCAGGTTCGCCGAAGAGCTTTACCCTGACCTGTTCCTCAGCGCCGACAGTGCCGGTGCTGAGGTGCCTGCATCTGGCCTTGACCAGCGAGTAGAACGACTTGAGGGTACCCTGGGTAATATCCAAGCTAGCCTTGAGCGACTACTTTCACGAGAGACCAGTGAGCCATGCAAGCCCGCTGCCACACCCGCGCCACCCCGCCAGCCAGCGCTCAAGAAGCCGCAGGGTCCTCCGCCATCAGGACCCGCTGCCGCCGTGTCTGGGTTGCCGCTGCCCGGATTAGATCCTGCAGTCGTCAACGCAGCCATTGCTGCTGGCATCAGCCGCGAGCATCTGGCAGAGATGAGCGCACTCATCCAAAAGCGACCTGGGAACAGCGGCAAAGAGACCCCTAGCCACCCGTGCCGACCCTCTGTCAGCAAGTGCCAGCGAGGAGGAGGAGCCGGAGCCCGCCAAGGGCGTGGACCCGGTTGCAAAGGCTCTGAGCAAGTTGACCGAGATTGCGGACGCTCTTGCATCGAACAGAAAGCAGGAGAGAGGCTTGCAAGCCATCCTCGAGGGCGCCGGGAGCAACAGCAGCCACGGGGAGGGCGCCTCTGGATCTGCCGGGCGGCGGAATGCCGTGGCCTTGCAGCAACTCAGGGCTGCCCTGTCATCTCAGCCTGCCTACATCTACGAGCGCATCGAGGCAAACCTCCGGGCCGATTTCAATCTGGCCCGTCAGTTGCCGGGCTCGAGTGCAGTGCCTGTGTCCGCCAGGGCGTGGCTGGAGCTCCGCTCCAAAGTGCAGCCCTATCAGACCAACATACGCTTCATTTGGGGAATAGCGGGGGTTTGGGATTGTCTCATGAACGAGGAGTATGCCCAAGCCCGAGCCAGGTGTGCGTTGTTGGTTGCTCAGGGGGACCAGCTAGCTGTGGATCGAGGCTCGTGGGTTCTCGCAGGCGAGCTCTCGCTCGAGGAGAGTCCTCCTTTCTCGGCGTTCAATCATCACCGTCTCCCTCCCCGAGACACCGTTCACAAAGCTCGCAGAGCCTGTGTGGCTGGACCTGTTGTTGTGGAAGCTGAAGGAGATCGAGGACTTCCTCGACAAGAGGAAGAAACTCTCCCAGCGTGCCAAGCCTCATGGAGAGCAGCCCAACCCCGAACAGATCAAGCCTCGGGGAGACACACGCCCTCCCAAGCCAAACAAAAAGGGCAAGGGCCCAGGGAGCCAGCCATTGGGCCCCGAGCCAGCCGCCCCGTGAGAAGAGCATGCACTGACTAGCCGAGGACGCCAGGCTCGGGTGAACCGTTTTTGCCAAATGCCAGCACCGTGCATGCCCGAGCCCTGTGGGCCTCTTTAATTAGACATATTTTGCACAGTGCCTCAGTTAACCTCAGGCGCTTTTTCCTCAGTGCCACTCAGCCAGTGTCTGCCCCGCGCGCAGAGTGCGGAGCTCTGTGGCCCATGCCGCTGCCTTACTTGTTGGGCCGAAGTTCACACTTGTGGGAGGGTAGCCCCGACCTTGTGAAGCTCTGCATCAGCATAATAATCGTTGTGTTGAATTGGCTTCACTTTGGACAGCCCCGTTCACCCCCGCCCGACTTCGTGTGGCACCGGAGGCTGAGCCCTAAACAGTGGGGCTTAGTCCATCGGCTCCGGCGGCTCCTGGGCGATTGGCGTGATGCCCCAGCAGTGACCGCCCAGGACATGGGGCGATCGGCCTCAAAGTTTGAAACCGTTGAATTCAGCGTGGAAGCCTTGCGCCGAGCAGCATGCGGCACACGACTTGCCGGCACATACGCTTGCCATGGAGTCAGTGCCGAACCCCAAAGCGCCCCTAAAGTGAGGCCCTTGGTCGGTCAAGCACCAGCCGCCCAGGTTGCAAAGCCCATTCGCACAGACCGCCTTGCCTTCTCTGGGCGGCCCAGTTTTGACCCATCACCATACCTTGGAGGTCCGTCTTTGGAGATGTACCAGCGCCCACTTGACTTTGCAGTAAAGCCCGAGTTGTCAACAGAGCCTCTCGTGCGGACCCGTGTGCATTGTGATAGGCCCGAAGCCTTGCGTCTGTTGCATCTCCTTGATTCCTCCGACCGCCTGTCATTGGTGGACGCACGTGAAGCCAGGATGTCCCACCGTTCAGGTCTGTTTGCAGTTACTAAGAGCTTGGAGAGGGACCGCCTGATTTTATTCCCTTGAGCCCGGTCTCAATACCTGGACAAACACCCTAGGCTCCTTCTACCCACTGTTGTACCTTGAGCTGCCGGCCGATCGTGACATCCGGGTCTCAGGCGAAGACTTGACCGATTATTACTATTTTTATAGGATCGGTGCCCAACGCAAATGTCGGAACTCCCTAGCCATTACCCTTTCCTTAGCCGAGGCCAGGAAGTTCCGTTGTTGGGATAAGTCGCGTGAAGGTGCAACCGCAGTGGTCCCCTGTTTAGCAACGATGGCGATGGGGGATCTAAATTCAGTAGAGTTTGGACAGGAAGCCCACGCTAAGCTAGCAATTGCTCATGGCCTAGCCACTCGGGGTAGTCTGGTCACTATGCACGGGGTTTGGCCGAGGGGGGAGCATGCAGTCGGCATCGTTATAGACGATTTGGTTCTGTTTGAATTAACCCTTCGGCAGCCGAGCCCGTTCTCCCCTCTGCCCCAGCCCAGCCGTGCAGCCATCCTTGCAGACGTTATGACCGAGATTTATTCCGCTGTGGGCCTCAGTCGCAACGCAAAGAAAGCTTTCAGGGACGAGCTAAAAGGCTCTTTCTGGGGAGCGTCGCTTTGTGGCAGCAGTGGCCTTATCCGTGCTCAGCTTAGTCGTGTGCTGCCCCTCGTATCGGTCACGGCCCGAGTTGCATCGATCGGTTGGGCTAATAGGGAGTTGATGGAGATCCTGGGTGGGTCTTGGACGGCCGTTTTCCAATTCAGGCGGCGACTCATGGCCTTGCTTGATGAAGTGTTTAGCTGCATCCATTCCCACAGGTACGGTGTGCCTTTCGCCTTGACTCCGAGCATGGTGGACGAGTTGTGGACTTGGGTAGTGCTTGCCCCTTTAGCTTGTAGTGACTTGAGGGCCAGTAGCCTCCCGGAGTTTGTAGCCGTTGATGCCTCGGACCAAGCCATTGCAGTTGTGTCGTCCACCATTGGCATTGAGCTTGCCAGGGAGATGCCCCGGCATGCATTGCGGCGCCCTGCGTGGACAAGGCTGCTCTCCCCAGCCCGCGCTTGGGAGCGGTCAAAAGGCCTGCTCCTTCCCAGCGAAGAGCTACCTGATGGAGTTGTGTACCGTAGCCATCCACTTTGGAGTGCCGTAGCAGAGCATTGTCCCTTTCAAGAGCAAACTTGTGTTAGGACCAGACCAGGGGCCCACATAAATGTAAGCGAACTAAAGGGAGTCCTTCTTGCAGAGGAGCGGCGGAGCAGGGAGTCGCCAAACACTCGGCTCCTTGTTGGGTCAGATTCGCAAGTGGTGTTAGGTGCCGTCATCAAGGGCCGCTCGGCATCGGCCTGCATCAATCGTGAGATGCGCCGACACTTGCCTGCTCTTCTTGGTGGTAATGTGTACTCATTTTTTAACAATCTACCCACTGCCCTGAATCCAGCTGACGACCCGACGCGGGGCCGGAGTGTGCGACCCCCTAAGCCTTTGCCCCCAAAGTGGTTCCAATTGGCTCTAAGCGGGGACTTTGAGGAGCTCGACCATTTTCTCAGGGAGCAGCGTCTGGACCCCCCCTCACTTGCTAAGGTCCCCCTGTTTGCAGGGAAGGACGTTCCGGCACTGCCCTCTGAAAGTCGCAGGAACGCTCGACGCCAGGAGTTCAGCCTCAGCACAAAGCGGCGCTGCGCCGGCCCGAGCCCTGTAAAGCAGCCCCTACCCGAACATAAATACAGCTGCCTTCTAACTCCGGACGCCCGCAATCTCGTCGAAACCATTCCGGCCGACCAGTTTGTGTTCCCGAGGGGCCGGAGTCGTGCCGATGTGTTTCACCGTCAGGGGCACTTGGATTTGTTTTCGGGTTGGAGGGGGGGCGCTACCGCACTTGCCGACACATCGCAGTGCTGGGTGCTGTGCTTTGACTTGAAGCATTCACCAAAGGAGGACCTTAGTGACCCTAGAGTGCAGCTTTTCCTGCAGCGGCTTTTGCAGAGCGGTCTCTTCCTTTCCGTCTCCGCTGCTCCCGTGTGTGCAAGTTTTTCACGCGCAGTGAGGCCTGCGGTTAGATCCCGGGCCTCCCCTTACGGTTTCAGTGGCGTGAGCAGTAACATGCAAGCCAAGGTAAAGCTTGGCAATCAGCTGGCAGTGTGGGTCGCCGCATTCATGACACAAGCCTTGCACCTGGGTATTGTTTTCTGGGTTGAGAATCCCTGGCTCAGCTTCATGTGGGATTTGCACGAGTTTCAGCAGCTGGCTTGTTCCGCCAGCGTTGGTTGGCTCACGGTGGACCAGTGTAGGTTCTCGACCCCTTGACGGAAGCGGACCCGGTTCCTTACAAGCTGTGCCCTTAGGGACACTCGTACCCTGTGCCAGTGTAAGGGTCCCCACATCCACCTTAAAGGGTACTGCAAAGCTAGGCGCTGTGCTTGGACCAAGCTTGCCGAGGCCTACCCCGCCGGGTTGTGCAAATCACTAGCCCGGGGGGTCCATCTCAGCCTAGTGCAATCCAGCGGCACAAGCAATGCCGCAGCCAGTGTGGCCTGTTCTGGGTCGGAGGCTAACCATATAGGCGAGGCTAAAAACCCCGGACCCCCTTTGTCTACTCAGGGAGGGTTGGAGGATGTACAGCTAGTAACCCCCGCCACAGCCAGACTACAAAGCCGCGTTGTGAGTGCTTTTGAGGATTGGCTTGCAGCAGAGCTTAGTGCCCCTTGTGTGCAAGCCGCCCGGTTGTGCCCCGTGCTTCTTTGCCATATCTTGAGAGCATACGGTAATCACTTGTTCTGTGTTAATAAGCCCGCGTACTTGTACCGCCATTTGCTCGCTTTTTACCAAAAGAATGCATTGCACCTTCGCCCATATTTGCCTTTAGCTTGGGATTTGCTTACCCGTTGGGAGCGAGTCAATCCGGTGCGCCACCGCACCCCGTTGGCTAAGCCTGTCCTGGATGCAATGCCCAGCACTGCCCTTGGGTGGGGCTGGGTACGATGGGCCGCCTTGACGGCCCTTGCTTTCTTTGGCCTTATGAGACCCGGTGAGCCATTGGCCGGCCGAAGGCAGGACCTGCTGTTGCCCACGGACTTGCTCTCTTTCGACAAGCCGATCCTTTTCTTCAGGATTGAAAAGGCGAAGACTCGGCACCGTGGGGGGGGCCTCATTCAGCATTCCAAAATAACCTCAGGTGTTTGTGTACAGTTGTGTGAGCTGGCTTTTTCGGACTTAGAGCCAACCGAAGGTGGGATGCTATACTTGAAGCCCTGCTTATCCCTAAGAGCGCTTCCCTCACCCCAGGCGGGTTACGTGGTGGTGGAGCTGTGCATGCCTACCACTCGGGCATGCCTCTCGTTGACCTGCTGTGGTCCATGAGACTGCGACACCTCCAGACTTTAGAGCATTACCTCCAAGAGGTTGCAGCCGAGAATTCTCTCCTGAAGCTATCCCAGCCATCCCGTTCCCGTGTCATAGGTGCAGCAAGACTCCTGCCCATATTGTTAGCGCACGCCTCAGCCTCTCAGCCTGCAGCGCCGTTGTCGGCCATAGAGTGACCTTCCGCCGCTCCAGGACGGAAGCGCGCCACCTTTCCAAGCTGCTGCGGCTTCAGGCATTTGTGGTAGCTCTTACGCAGGCACTTCTTGGGCCGCCTGGCCATGCTGCACTTGGCAGTCACTGCCTCTGTGTGCATCAGGGCCCTCCATGGACCATCGTGCCTTGTGCTACTACGGTGAGTGGCACGCGGTGCCCCTCTTCTCACCTGTCTGACAGACCTGGCTGTCGCTGAGGAAAATGCGTGCCAGCGCCGCGCCGGCCATGCATGTACATGCACAAATATAATATATATATATATATATATAATATACACATAATATGTATATGTATATATAATATACACATCATATGTATAAATAAATATAAATATATATATATATATGTGTGTATTTATTTACGTTTGCCCGTATACATATACATATACATATACATATACATATACATATACATATACATATACATATACATATACATATACATATACATATACATATACATATACATATACATATACATATACATATACATATACATATACATACATACATACATACGTACGTACGTACATACACACATACATACATACATACACACACACACATACATACATACATACATACATACATACATACATACATACATACATATACATATGTATACATATATATATATACACGTGCAGTATGAACAAATACCTTTCGTACTTACTTTGAGAACAGGTGGTTTGTCGTCGTTTGCAGCAGGGATTTTGCAAGCGCCAGCCTGCCCGCAACCAGATCAGAGCATTCAATCAGAAGCTGTCTCTTGCCATCAGTCGAACCGTTCTGGTTCGAAATGTCTCTTTGCAGCCAAGTACAAGCAGCACCACTTAAGCAGCGGCTCAACGGCAGTAGTGGCTGAAGCCAAATGGCTGCTTTTTCTTCGGCTTGTTCGTCTGACACTGGCCATCGAGAGCTATGTTTGCGAAGGTCCGCCTCCTCCCCCCCCCCAGCGATCTGGGCCGCTTGCGTATGTGTGTATGTAGTACATACACATGACCATTTCAGGGTTACTCTGTGGACATACAGTGCTTTTGCTGCTACTAGGGGTAGGGTGGGATTGACAAATGCCACTGACTGAGGACTTGGGCTTGATATCTTTGACATCGCAAACAGCACCGACGCCGAGTGGGCCGCGAAAATTGGCACCGCGAGCGCCGCCTTAAGATCAAGACGCTTGGCTTTTCAAGCCGGAATGGGAACATAACCGTGGGTGCAT